GGTGATTTGTTCTATTGTTCCAGCCATTTTTTTTTTCCATTTCTGGTGCTGAAGAATAGTGGGATCTTTTGCAATGCATGTGTTTTGAGTAGAACTTCTCGTGCTTGTACTTACTGGTGTTTAATTATCGAATCTTTGACTCAAATTTTGAATTTACATCTCGGATGGTATACTTACTGGAGCCAGAAACAGATGCCAGTGCTGACTAGTGTTTATTTGTAGGTGGTAAATGCTAATGTATCCTTAAAACGATTGGAGGAGGTGTTGGCGACAGAAGAGAGAATTCTCTTACCAAATCCTCCCATTGTACCCGGACAGCCAGCCATCTCAATAAGAAATGGAAATTTCTCTTGGGATTCCAAGGTGCCGCTTGTGTATTTTATACCATGTTCCTTCTTTTACTTTCTCTCATTACCTTTGTCCATACAAGGTACAAAATTCAAGCTAACCGTGTGTATCTGCAGGGGGATAGGCCGACGTTGTCAAATATCAACTTGGATGTACCTCTTGGTAGCCTAGTTGCCGTGGTTGGTAGTACAGGCGAAGGAAAAACCTCTCTTATATCTGCCATCCTTGGGGAACTTCCTGCAACATCTGATGCAATGGTTACTCTCAGAGGATCAGTTGCTTATATTCCACAAATTTCATGGATCTTTAATGCAACAGTATGTTTTTCTATTCTTTTACTTTTAAGTTGGCCTGACATTTGCAATTTTTTATGGTACACATAATGTTAAATATGTTTTTTTTTGTCTTTGTAGTAGAACTGTATGTGTTCACAAACGCGTCAGTTATTCATACACTTAGTGGATAATTTCTTCAGCATTTTGATTCTAAGCTGCTTTGAACAGAGGACTGATTTGCATTTTCTTAATAAAATTTCTAGGTACGCGACAATATATTGTTTGGTTCTCCTTTTGACCGTGAAAAATATGAAAGGGTCATTGATGTGACTGCACTCAAGCATGACCTAGAGTTACTGCCTGTAAGTTTTGAGGAGAAATTCATGTACTCGATAGCAAGAATTTTTCTTACCTGTTCTCCTGTTTTAAGTTCGTTTCAACCTCTTTGTCATGCTTGGTAGGGTGGTGATCTAACGGAGATTGGAGAAAGAGGTGTTAACATCAGTGGAGGACAGAAGCAGAGGGTTTCCATGGCTAGGGCCGTTTACTCAAATTCAGATGTGTACATCTTTGATGACCCCTTAAGTGCTCTTGATGCTCATGTTGGTCAACAGGTACAAAATCGTTGATTCTTTTTGATAAGACTGGTCTATTCATTTTTTCGTCTATCGTACTATGACATTTTGTTTCCAGTCTTCATGGGAAGCAATCTGATTTCTAGAACTAACTGTTTCAGGTTTTTGAAAAATGCATAAAACGAGAACTGGGTCAGAAAACGAGAGTTCTTGTTACGAACCAGCTCCACTTCCTATCGCAAGTGGATAGAATTGTACTTGTCCATGAAGGCACAGTGAAAGAGGAGGGAACATATGAAGAGCTATCCAATAATGGCCCTTTATTCCAGAGGTTAATGGAAAATGCTGGGAAGGTGGAAGAATATTCAGAAGAAAATGGAGAAGCTGTGGCAGATCAATCTGCAGTGCAACCAGTTGCGAATGGGAACACTAATGGTCTTCATATGGATGGAAGTGACGATAAGAAATCCAAGGAAGGAAATAAAAAAGGAGGAAAATCTGTCCTCATCAAGCAAGAAGAACGTGAAACCGGAGTTGTGAGTTGGGGAGTCCTGAAGAGGTAACTTGAAAATTTGGCTTTTGCACTCTTACTATTTGTATGCAATTTTCCCCATAGTCGAAATATCTGTAGGTATTTGTTCTTGGCCCAACAGTTTCATTTATTTTCTATGTGTTTACCACAAACTAAATCATACTCTATATGTTTTTTTTGGCTGAAAGCCTGAAACTGCGGAATACGAAAATGACTTTTCCAATTTTAACATGTTTCCAGGTACCAGGATGCACTTGGAGGGGCATGGGTAGTGATGATGCTCCTTTTATGCTACGTTTTGACAGAAGTATTTCGGGTTAGCAGCAGCACGTGGTTGAGTGAGTGGACTGATGCAGGAACTCCTAAGAGTCATGGACCCCTTTTCTATAATCTCATATATGCACTTCTCTCGTTTGGACAGGTATGAGTTATATTTGCCTGATGGATGAGTGATGATATAACAACATAACATAAATAGCTGAAACCTGACCACCTAAGAAGGATCTTATATTAATTTTCTTTTGTAACTTTACTCTGAGAAAACAATGGCAAAGGTAGAAAATGTTATAGTTAGGGCATGATATTTTTGCTGAGACTCTTTCTTCTTGCTTTCAGGTTTTGGTAACATTGACCAATTCATATTGGTTGATTATGTCCAGTCTTTATGCAGCTAAGAAGTTACACGACTATATGCTTCATTCCATATTAAGGGCCCCGATGTCCTTCTTTCATACCAATCCACTAGGACGGATAATCAATCGATTCGCAAAAGATCTGGGTGATATTGATCGAACTGTGGCCGTCTTTGTAAACATGTTTATGGGTCAAGTCTCACAACTTCTTTCAACTGTTGTCTTGATTGGCATTGTAAGCACTTTGTCCTTGTGGGCCATCATGCCCCTCCTGGTCTTGTTTTATGGAGCGTATCTTTATTACCAGGTAATATACCTTCTAACTGCAGCATTTACATGAGTAAGTTCTAGTCATAGAAAGAGACAATAAACACATATGATTGATGTTACACATTCTGTTTTATCCCCTATTTGTCATGTCTTCGAGTTCTTTTGGTCCTTAAACTATCTACACTCATCTGTCAGCAAAAATCATGCACATGTGTTGTCGTTAACATTTTTCTTATTGCAGAACACAGCCCGTGAGGTTAAGCGTATGGATTCAATTTCAAGATCGCCAGTTTATGCACAATTTGGAGAGGCATTGAATGGCTTATCAACTATCCGTGCTTACAAAGCATATGATCGGATGGCTGACATTAATGGAAGATCAATGGATAATAACATCAGATTTACTCTTGTCAACATGGGTGCCAATCGGTGGCTCGGTATCCGTTTAGAAACTCTGGGTGGTCTTATGATTTGGCTGACAGCATCATTTGCTGTCATGCAGAATGGACGAGCGGAGAACCAACAGGCATTTGCATCTACAATGGGTTTGCTTCTCAGTTATGCCTTAAATATTACTAGCTTGTTAACAGGTGTTCTGAGACTTGCGAGTTTGGCTGAGAATAGTTTAAACGCGGTCGAGCGTGTTGGCAACTATATAGAAATACCACCAGAGGCCCCACCTGTCATTGAGAACAACCGTCCACCTCCTGGATGGCCATCATCTGGATCCATAAAATTTGAAGATGTTGTTCTCCGTTACCGCCCTCAGTTACCCCCTGTGCTTCATGGGGTTTCTTTCTTTATTCATCCAACAGATAAAGTGGGGATTGTTGGAAGGACTGGTGCTGGGAAGTCAAGTCTGTTGAATGCCTTATTTAGAATTGTGGAGGTGGAAAAAGGAAGGATATTAATCGATGAGTGTGACATTGGGAAGTTTGGACTGATGGACCTACGTAAAGTGCTCGGAATCATTCCACAGTCACCAGTCCTTTTCTCAGGAACTGTGAGATTCAATCTTGATCCATTTGGTGAACACAATGATGCTGATCTTTGGGAGTCTCTAGAGAGGGCACACTTGAAGGATACCATCCGCAGAAATCCTCTTGGTCTTGATGCTGAGGTACTCAGCTAACACTTGTATCTTGAGATTCAATTGCTACCTGTATATTGACATTGAGTCTCCTTTTTAAGTGGTTATAACTGATTTTGAGTCTTTGTTGTTGCGTTCCACTTCAGGTCTCCGAGGCAGGAGAGAATTTCAGTGTGGGTCAGAGGCAGTTGTTGAGTCTTTCACGTGCGCTGTTGCGGAGATCTAAGATACTCGTCCTTGATGAAGCAACTGCTGCTGTTGATGTTAGAACTGATGCTCTCATTCAGAAGACTATCCGAGAAGAATTCAAGTCATGCACAATGCTCATCATCGCTCACCGTCTGAATACCATCATTGACTGTGACAAAATTCTCGTCCTTGATTCTGGAAGAGTAAGAGCTTGATTTCCAAACACTCTCTCTTCGAATCTCACACTCCATTTTTTCTCAGTTAACCTGTTCTATTCCAACTTATCAACTCAGGTTCAAGAATTTAGTTCACCGGAGAACCTTCTTTCAAATGAAGGAAGCTCTTTCTCCAAGATGGTTCAAAGCACTGGAGCTGCAAATGCTGAGTATTTGCGTAGTTTAGTACTCGACAACAAGCGTGCCAGGGATGACTCACAACATATACAAGGCCAGAGGAAGTGGCTAGCTTCTTCTCGCTGGGCTGCAGCCGCTCAGTTTGCTCTGGCTGCCAGTCTCACTTCGTCGCACAACGATCTTCAAAGCCTTGAAATTGAAGATGATAGCAGCATTTTGAAGAGAACAAATGATGCAGTTGTGACTCTGCGCAGTGTTCTCGAGGGGAAACACGACAAAGAGATTGCAGAGTCTCTTGAGGAACATAATATCTGTAGAGAGGGATGGTTGTCATCACTCTATAGAATGGTAGAAGGTAAATAAATATATCATATGCATCTTTACAAATGCTTACCTGAATATATGATTCTATATGCAAAACTGAAACATTAAAGTCCATTCGTGCTCTTATCTTGAACGCTTGCTTTCTGCTGTCTATATTTTCAGGACTTGCAGTGATGAGCAGATTGGCTAGGAACCGAATGCAACAACCAGATTACAATTTCGAAGGAAATACATTTGACTGGGACAATGTCGAGATGTAGATAAGTTCAAGTTAAGCTAGGAGTCATGGTCCTTCCTAAAGAAACATTTTCTTACCTTAACCAAAATTCTTAATTTTGGATTACTTAAGTTCCATTTTTATGAACGTACTTTTGTTTGCAAAGAAAATCAAACATTGTTGTGTTCTTCCTGATAAGTAGAATAGTTACTTGTGATGCAATTTTGGAGCTGGACAAAGTTGTAAACATGATGAGTTCCTCTACAGTAGTTCATATACAAAAACTTCATCATTGTAGCACCAGAAAGAAACAAACATCAAGAACCAAGCTCATGAAATCTCAAGCAGGGCAATGAGGCCGTTTCTAGGGTTGAGATTCATTGGAATCTTGGGATGTGTTGGAAACATCTGTACGGGTTTGGCCATGAACAGATTCAAACCCATTGGCAAAGACATTTGCAAGAGCAGTCAACACCTGAAAGACATTGGGAAGGCTTGATTTGAGGTTGTCTAGCGTCATTCTCTTACTAACCTCGACTGAGTTTAAGTACTTAGCTTTCTCAATGTCCACTCGTTTCCTCAAGGCTTCGACCTTGGCTTGTTTGATTGACAGCGGATGCTTAGAGCCCAAACTCGTTGAGCTTAATTCCTCCTCTTCCATTGCTGAAATTCCCTCAAGCCTTCTTTCGATCTCAGCCAGTGAAATTTTCTCTTTCTCCAGCCTCCTCTCAAGTTTATTACATTTCCTCCGCAGGTTGTATTCCTCAGCTTGTTGATGAATAACAGATTTAATTGACATCAGAAAGCTTTTAATGGCTTCTGAAGTGACCTGCGCCAACCAAAACAGTTGCATGTGGACATATTAAAGACGGCTTTCATAGAGCCAAGAACCAGAAAAATACATATAAGCTGCAAGTGATTGGAGAACCTTATCAGGGAGATTTTCAAATACAAGCTGCCATTCTTTGCAGAGCTTACGAGCAGCAACAGGCAAGCTGCTTCTTTTGTTTTCTTCATTAGGTAGGCGATCAGTAAGTTGGATCCACGTACAGAGTGTTTTCACATATTCTCGCTGAGAATTTACCAACTTGCAAAAGCTGTTGTACCAGCAAGTAACCTCGGTCTCTAGTTGATTAACCGCCTGGCGTTTGTATTCCGAACTGAGATCTATACTAGGGTAATCTGGAAGATGGTTCAGTTGCTGGGATATATGAATTTGGATTTGATGGCACTTGAGCATTGTTTTCCACATATGTGCTAGCCTGAACATATTAAGACCAAATGAATCTTGAGAGGCGGTATATTCAAATTGCATAAAATGGAATGCTTTCCAATGAGATGGCCAGCATAAAAGTGGTTGTGGAGTTTACCCTGAAGTTAAAGCAACTAGCTGTGGATACAGCTCATCATTGATCAAGTTAAGCATACATGAGCGTGTTGTAGTTATGGAATCTTCTAGAAACTGTATCTCAGTTCCCAAGCTCTCCAAACTCAAGCGTGCCTTCTCCATTTTGCTCAAATCAAAGGTTTCCCCATCTTGCTTTTGCAGTAATGCAGACTTCCTCTCATGCTCCACTTTGGCAATTTCTTTGTTCTGGTCAGAAAATAAAACTAATCATCTCATTGTTGAATCTGACAATCTAACACCGAAAGAGTTGGATCAGCTAGCTCTTACTCTGACTAGCTGGTATAGTTTCTTTTCAGCTGTGTACAGCTTCTCAAGTGTGCTGCAGTGAGCTCCAGGCCTACAGGGTTCAACAGCGCCGCTTGTTGTAGTATCTTTGCTCAACTGAAGAGACTTTGAAGACCAGCTCCATGACAATGCACTGAATACCTTTGCAGAGCTGCTTTTCTTCCCTGTGAGCCACAAAAGTATTATAACATGTACAACAAATTTCATGCCTAAGAACAGAAATCAGAACCTTTGGATTTTAGAAATTAAGGTCACCATTTGATAAACATCACGAAAATTCTCAGTCAGTCACTTACTTCTTGTTTCCTGATATCTGAAAGGATCAACAGTATCCCTACTGTTGATGTCTACTATCACAGCTATCTCTTTCTCGCAACCTGATGCTTTTAGAAAGTAATCATCCAACTCTCTGATGATCCCTTCTAAGGTCCTCCTGATCCTACAATCAGTCACACGAGTGTTATCCAGATCTTTACCAGAGCAGCTTGTCTTGGAGGAGTTATCGTCCATAACTTCTCCCAGCTTAAACTTCAAACGCCGTGGCTTCTTCGTGTCACAGCCACCAATAGCCTCTATCTGATGAACACTTAAATCAAGGCAATTACCTCCTGCTTCTTGTTGCTCATCTTCTTCCTCAAACTGAGACTTCGTCTCCGCCCAATTCTCCTCTTCAGCTTGCTGAACTAGTTGTTTTTTCTTCAGCCCTGTTTGTGTAACGGCATTGTCACCGTTTGGGTGACTATGTAGCTCCAGTGACTCAAAAGGGTTCCAAATGTCCCAAGAATTCGGCAATGGGGGCGGAGGAGTTGCACCACTTCCATCATTACCACCATCAATCTCCGCAGTGCCCTCTTCCTCCTCATCAGCCAATTCATGACTAGTCTCGGGATTTATCAAATCCGGGCTAAATGGAGGAGGTGGTGGAGGAGAAGGAGGCAATGTAGGAGGCGGTGAAGGAGGCAAAGGCAAACTTAAACCATAACTAGTGTTTTCAAGCTCCAAGGTCTCAGACTCAGTGAATTGCCTAAGAGTAACTCCAGTGTTCCTCAAAGCTCTAAGATAAGCCAACTGTGCATCAGCAAAGTCTCCCCTGAACCCTAGTAACTTTTTCATTAGCCTCTTTCTCTGCCTACACACTAGAACCTTTTCTTCATTATCAATGCTTGAAGCAGCACAACCCATTTCTTCCCTCTTTCTTTACACACTCTTTTCAATTACAATCTCAAATCGAGGATGTCTAAAAGTAGCTAATTCGCTTTGCAATGTACTGACGATTCAACCAAAGGCCTAAGCTTTTCAACTTAAAGATTCATCAGAAACAAGAATAGGCAAAAAGGATTGGAGAATAGTACCGAAAGCTCTATTTTTGCTTTTGAGTGTTGTGGCTCATCACTTTCAGAAAAAGTGTTGTAAGAAGAGGGCATGAGAGTACAGCTAACTAATCTTCAAATGTGCTTTCTGAGAACATACCAACGAGGCTCGCAAATGATTTATCTTTAAAAGGAACCGCCTTTATCTCTCTCTCTCTTTCTCTTGAGAAACGAAGTTCGTAGAGAAAGGTAAAAGAGGAGACTTTGATCCACGGAAACACCAAGTTCGAAAAAGGTCAAAGATTGGTCCAAGAGCTCCCCAAAAACAAAAACAAAAAACAGCAATAAAATCGATGCAATTAGAAACACAAATTGTGGAAAGATATTATAGTGTGAGAGGAATTGAGTTTAGAAATTCTCGAAAGCAAAATTGCATGACTATTGTTTTTTTTCTTTTTAATTCTTAGCACAGGTGATGATGATACTGACATGGAACCTGGTACAAAGAAAGAGACATTGTTCAATTTCGCTTTATAATATTTATTTATTGTCTTTTATAAAAAAAAATCAGTGTTTTTCCTTTTTCATTTGTAATTTTTAAGTTTGTATCAAATGTTGAAAGAAAAATGAAATATTTTTAAACTTTGAACAAAAATAAATTAATTAAGGGAGAGAATGGAGAACAAAAAGAAATTGGTGTGCAATTCATGAGAAGAATTTTAAAACATTGAACAAGTAGAGAAAACGGAAATAAAAGAAACTGCAATTCACTGTGACAAAACAAATATAATACTTTGGAAATAAAAACGAATATAATACTTTATTAGTTTTAAATTTTTTTTATGTAAAATAGATAATGAATAACACGATAAAAATTATTTTATCCGACCAAAGTCATTCATAAAAAAAAGGAAAAGAAAGGTATATCCTTTAAAGCGACCAAACATGATCAAAGGCAAAGATTAAGTTAGCAACGCATAACAGCGAACTAACTTACACAAGAAGAAACTCTTTTGAGCCTAACATGCCTTTTAGCTATAACAGAGTATTGTATTTGTTCTTCTATTCTAATCTTAACTAGTAGTACTGTTTTATTTGTGCTTCCATGTTTTTTTAAGCCTGTTCACATAGGGAACAGAGAAAAAGAAAGACCAGTGAATGAGCTTTTTGTTATCCTAAAAGGTTTGGACTTGTTATTTTATTTTACAAGGAAAAGGTAGAGAAAAGAAGAGTAGGAAAAGGGGACAAAGGTGACAAGATTACACGAGATATGAGTGACGAGCATGTTAACCATTGTATTATATATCCTCTTATTTGTCAACAAAATAAGAGTTGAGTTTAAGGTCTGTGTCTCTGTGATTTGAGAGATCAATAAACGTAATTTGTAATTTGAATAAACAATTGTTAACACACTAACACGTCTGTGAAAACAAATGATGTATGCATTTACAGTCACTATTTAGTATTTAACAAGAACAAACCAAACATAAACACAAACCAACCTGAAAAAAAAATTGAGTATATGCAATTCAGGTGAAGTTGAGTTTGTAATAGTACTTCAAAAACCTGATTGAAATTTGATTTTTAAAACCCATTGCCATTAGGTACAATGCAGCTTTGGCTTTCGAAGGAAAATACTCTTATTACCAATACGGCGATAGCACAACATACTGGAACGATGGAAGCACCAAACCAAAGAGAGACAATTCTATCAGTGCACCGGGTATGGGATTTTAAATGGCACACAGAAAAAAAAACTTCACTCCAACGTAATCACTCTTTTATATTTCACTTCAACTATCGATTTTGAGTAGAGAATTGAGTGAAGTGCTGTTGAATCTCTGAGCAAAGCCGCGGATGACAAGCACAATAACATCACGGAGATGGCGCGAATGTACGACCATGTCTACTTCATGTTCACCATCCACAACAACCCTTAGCCTTCTTTGATCATTACGAAATGTCTCTACCTGGTTTGATGCAAAATGATATATGTTATAAGACAATTTGAAGACATAAGTGAATGTGGTCACAATCAGAAACACTTACATGGAAAGGAGGAACATAGCTTCCACGAACTTCAGTAGTTGCAAAAGACGTCTTTGAACCAGGTTTCACAACCTTTATTCTCTTCCTGTTCATTTCTAGCATTCGTCTCTCGAGATTACCCTCTCCCACAATCTATGTCATAAGCAGTTTCACCCTTTTAGAAATCCCAATTCAATGAACAAACAATCAACTGTAACACTCTAAATTATGAACTACATACCTTTTTTGGATATGGGTCCTTGTCACACAACACCTGATTCCAAAAGATCAAAAGAGGGAAACAAATGCATTAGGAACATAGCTTTCATCATCTTTTGCTTACATAAAACATTAAGGATAGCAAAGCTACAAAACAAAACAGAATTAATCTTACCTCAAACTTCACTAACCCAGTTTCTAATTTCTGCTTCACTTCCTTATATAGATCAGGTTCTGCAAATTAATCATTACCGTGAATACCACTTGAAAAAAAAGAAAAAAGTAGTTGTGGAAGATGCAACAGCGATCTCCCTTTAAGGAAGCTGGTCAAGAGTTACTGTATGCAAAATTGACGTCATATATAAAAGAAATGGTGACTATAGTAAGTAGGTTTTCATAACAACAAACAACGACGACAAAATTCATGACAGATAATGATTATGGAAAAACTTACCAACAGCAACAGGCTCTGTAGATGCAGAAACTGGATGGCCTTCGACACCATCCTCACGTATGGGTGTATATACCACGACCAGTCTGTATCCGACATCATCTACATTAGCTTCATACATCCTTCCTGTCTCACCTACAAATTTAATGAAATGTAAAATGGTTGAAACTTTTTTCCAGGTATTTGTATATGATCCAGGAATTGAGACTCTTACAAGAAATGCTAGCAATACTAGTATTTTCAAGAAGGAAATAACAATGTGACCCAAGTTCTGTCTACCTGGAATTGAGATGAGATCAGGGCTTCCAACCATTGATCTAAGCCATTGGATTTTACTTTTTCCCTCTTTACCACCAAAATAATTGCCTCGAACAGCATATAAGTTAGTATGGAAACCTTGTCCTTCGATCTCTAGCTTTTCTATCCTAGGAAAACCTGAAGTAGACAGAAAGTTGGTCACATCTAAACATCGTCAGAGATATTGGTAAACAAGATGCATACGAACCTGGTGATATTGGATCAGTCTCGGCATATGCTAGTTCACTAGACCTTCCAAACACATCATGTACTACACATTCACATTTAAGACATCTGCCAATATCCTCAAACCGCACCTTGTACGAACACGAAATTTCTGAGGAGAGAGCCTCATACAATATCTTATCCCCTGATTCCAGTGAGCGGAACCTGTCACAACCCTTGTTATGTGAGACTAAATCATAAGAAGTTTCTGAAAAGGTTTCTCTGGCCTCATTTGTTTTTAAAAAGAAGCTAATTATAGTTAAAAAGCAAGTTGCCAAAAAATAGAAAGCAGATTGACTAAGCATATCAGATACAAAGTTCAACACATGAAAACAATGTTTTCTATATAATTGGATTAAAGGCATCAACGCCAGCGAAGATCTAAAACATGTTTATTTTATGCAAATATCAATAGATCCAGTAAATCTCAAAATGTCTCGTGCAAATATTTAGCCAGGAATTAAAGGTCAGGTGAGATGCAATGTACCATTGGTATTGAATATCTCCTTTGTACTTGCTCCAAACAAGTTGTTGAATTTCAGTCTTTGGAATCACTTGGACAGCTGTGAGAACGTCACCCTGTATAGCCTTTCCAGTGAAAGCAAGCATTTCTACTTTTGGAACCTCTGTATTGTTATCAAGAGTGTTAGAATTGTGTCGCAAAGAGAACCCACAAAATAAACAAAAACAAAAATGGAAAAAATAACACAACAACAATAATCAACGACATCAAACTTTTTCTATCGATCAAGAATGAAAACCTGGGAGGATAATTTCAGTTGCCTCAGACATCTTTAGCTCTCCCACGACAGAATCTGAACGAACTGGTGTGTATCTGCAAAATAAGTTGAAAAATTTCTAAGATTCAAGTTCGCATACAAAAGTCAAAAACGATCATGGAGCTAGGGCTATCAGAACTTCGAAAACAACTACAACTGCCAGTTATTCGGGAAACTTAAAAGGCTCAGACACGTTAACACGTAACATAGTTTCTTTCAGAAATGGAAGACGAAGCTAAAACATTCAAAAGTGTAAAACAAAACAGCCATCTAAAGGACTAATCAAAGCAATGGATGCTTGTCAAAGCTGCAAGAATAAATGGCTGCGGAAACATACCCGAACAATATCCGGCAATTGTAATCTGACTCAGTCACCTCATATGTTTTGGAGTTTGCCCCAGCAATAAGATCAATGGTTCCATCATTATCTCTGTACCAACTGAATAGACTTGCACCTTCATGGCCACCAAAGTACTCTCCTTCTCCAGAATAAGCATCCGAAAAGAGTTTCTTCACATGAACATTAGATACCTCTGGATCAGCTGCAACCATCATTCACTTTATCCCTCAGAAAGCTTAAATCAAAAAGGTGATATCATGAAAGTAATAATTGCATAACAAACTAGATTGAAAATGAATATTCAATATTGGGACAATATCTGCACCTGGGGTAACAGGAGAGTTTGTTATCGAAACAACTGGCTTCCCACTTCTCCCATCCACGCGAGTAGGAATCCAGTACAAGACTAGATAAGCCCCCACATCTTCAAGTGATGGAGTATATTTTCTAAAACGAGAAACAGATCAGTCATACTTATCGAAAAAGACAAACTACGAAGAAATTTGAATACTGTTGGGAAATCTATGGCTCTTACAGTGTTCTACAACAAGCAACAACCTCTTCACCGGCATAGGATATTTCTGTGAGTGCAGATCCATGCAACTTTACCTTAGTTCTATACCAGATATACTCACCAACACCTTCATGACCCCCAAAGTAAGTTTTACGAGGCTCAACCTCTTGTTTCTCACAGCAGTCAGGAACTAAAAGCTCCAACCCCATAGGATTTGCTGTTTACATAGGAAAAATTGAAGGAGCCGAGATAAGTAAATGTAGAAACTAGTGCACAAACTCAAAAAACAGGGCATACTCTGTAGCTTAAATGGACAATTGAACATTCTGAAAAAACTAAGTGCGGGTTTGACATTCTTTAAAATTTGGAAAGACACTCACCTGGAGCAATAGCATCAGACCTGATACTCCTTGGACTCCCTTCTATTCCATCTTCGCGAACAGGAGTGTAAATAAGTTCAATGCTTTCCCCGACATCATCCAGTGATAAATCCAGAAACTCTGTTCAGGGATCATATTGATTAATCTGAAGCAGGTTTTGAGGGGCCAGCAAGGAATCTAAGGTATATAATGGATCAAAACTTACCATCATGACTCAATATTTCCTTAGCACCATTACTTTTCACCCTAACCCATTCAAG